TTTCAGTTATCAACCTTGCGATCGTGCAAAAATAGTTTTTTTCTTTAATAAATACAAATAAATCCACGGCATCTCTGAAAGTGTCAAGTTCTTTTGAATCGGATACCGGTTGGTATATCCGATATAAATGTGATGATTTGAAACTTTTGTATTGTTATTAGGTAAACAGATACTCGACAAGTCTTGACGTAGCTTCAGATTTAACCTTTTCTACCTGAATTACAGAAAAGTATCCATGTCTCTATCAATTGCACCGTAGTAGGCGACAGAAACAGTTAAATAATATTTCCCTATACAAGGATGTTTTACTCTCATGAATCGATCATCAACCGCTGAAATCATTGAAAATAAATGAAAACCCATGGGCTCGGTGTGGTACCGGGGTTTGCGGTTGTCATAATGAATCCTCAACCACCTTCGGTCTGAGGCAAAAATTCATTAAATTCCTGCAATTACAGCTGTCAAAACAAAAACGAATGCTATATTTCACAATTTTATTATGAATCAAAATTTTAAAGATACATGGTGTTTCCCATAAGTAAAAGGAAATGTTTAAAGAGGTAGTGGTTGAAAAAATTCAAAAGCTACAGTTTATATAAACCAGGTTTTTCTGCTAAATCTGCTAGTAACTAACGGAAATTTTGTCTTGTTTAGAAGAAAGCCTAAATTGTTTAGAAGAAAGTAAGTTGCCTAAATTAAATATTATTTTAGTTATCACTTCTTTTCCAACTAAAAACATAACAAAAGTTAAATTTCTCATTTTTATATGGAAATCGAACTATTATTTATATAACTTTTTTTTGTAACTCTTAAATATTTTCACGCTTCTTTAAATATTTCCCATCACTTACGATAAATCCAATATAATTAGTATATTAATGAATTTATATGTAAATATGAGTAATCATTATTCTTCAAATTTATCTGAGATTTTTAACTGTAGAGGATGAAATCTGATTGCATTGTACTGATTCTAGGAAACTTGCAATATTCAGATCTATTAAATATTCTATAAGCAATACTTGGTAATTAAATCAAAATTGGACTGTATTTCGTTTCTGTACAACAGTGGAGAAAAGTTTGAATACACAATAGCAGTTATTACACGCAGCTAATAATTTAGTTCCATTGAAATACGTTCAATCAATACGTTAGTTAACTATTAAAGGCTAAACAAGCAATTCCTACAATCATCTTGGATATTGGTTATTTATTCAAATTGTTCATTCCGAGTTGTATAAAATGCTAATAATTATTAAACACTTGTTGAATTATTGATTTTTAGTCTTTGTATTATATAATACCTATTGATAAAAAAAAAAATCATCAAGACCTGTCAACGAATTATTGACTATCAGCAAATGGGAATAATGAAAATGACTTGTCAGACATGGGGAATGATAGCAACCTTCAGTACCTCTTCCCTGGCTAGATTCGATTATCATGGTTTGTTAAGGAATGTCTCATCCAACGCCCTTTAAGTCTCCTCCTTGGATGTATGGACATGTTAGATGAAGACCATATCTCTTATTAGTATGTTGGTGTGTTCATGTAAATTGGTATGAAATCGTTTGTAAAGACTTCTCATATGATGGTCAACTATTGGCCGGTGGATGGAAAGTTGTTTATATAAATTATATTAGCTGTATTGAGCCATTGGAAATCTGAATATTTACCAATGCTACATAGTGCCATAACTGATGCAGGTAAAAACTTACATTATCCACTACATGATGTATTTAGATGAGTTCCTTCACGGATAAACATTAATACAATCCTTAGACTTTTTGTATTCCAGAAAGGCCTCAACCATGTTCTTTATAAGTACGAGAATCATTCCGTCTCCATTTATGATACACAATTCAGAACTATTGACAGCTATGACACTAATAAATTGAACAATATATCACTTGCAATAAGCAGATTATTGTACGATTTGTATGTCGAGTAAGTCCATTGGGGCATATTGGAAATCTCTTATGACCTTCTTACACGACAGACTTTATTATCAGTATTCCGACCTTAGAATTGCCAGAGACGACCAGACATTACATAATGCTATGATGAATAAGGCAGCCAAGTTTTCCGTTTATTTTGTAAATATTACTAAACTTCCTTTGGCACTCCACTTATTTCCTAGAAGGAAAATATTTTAAAACACAAAGAAGAAATTCAGTGCATTGTTGGGTAGGCATTAGTGTAGTCCAAAATCGGTCTTGGTCTTGCAGTTCGCAAGACCAAGACAAAGATCGCTTAGTTAGATTTCTACTAACTAAAAAAATACATTAATATCTCTATAGTGATAAGCTAATAGATAACTGCAAGACTCTTGCGCAAGACCAAGACTGAGTGCGCAAGACCAAGACGAGTCTTTGACATTTGGCATTTGGGCACGACGCATTTGGGCAAAACTAGTAGGCAAAAATGCGCCTTGGTGAAATTCTAATTCTATATAATTAGAATTACCGTAAAGGTCTAAAATAGTTTCTCCAAACAATTACGTTTTTACTATTCGAAATTTATGGTGTACGTAGAGACATGACCTAGTGAACTCGTTTTGCATAATCTGTAAAAGGCCAAAAGTCAAATTAAACTCTATAGCCCTAGTGCAATTCATTCGCATATTTCCCAATAAAACTACGGGTATGTTTCCAAATTTGAGATATTTGGGAACCTATGTATTTGAAATTGCAAACATTTTAATAAACATTTTCCTCAAAGTCTTGCCAAAATTGAAAACCAATACAGAAACTATTTAAATATAAAAAAGGAGATTTTATCATTAAAATGTTTTGTTAGAGCGAAAAAAAAACTTGATTGTGGCCAAACCTAAAAATTCGCAAAAGACATTAGTGTAAAGTTGAATTCCAAAACAATTTTTAAACTTTCGAACGTACAGTAAAATTTCGATTGTCCGTCATAATCTCAAACGATGCATATTTGATTAAACGGCGAACTTGGTTATCCGGAATGTATAAAAGAAAAAACTCAAATAATCGGCCAAACTTAAAACACAATACCATCCCTTAAAATACATTATTTAGATTAAATGTGGAATATTATAATACATTAAATGTAATATTATAGTCGTTACAAATTAAATACAACTAGTTGGCCCGAGGAATTAATCGTACCATGATCATGGGATCCAGATCGTACCATCGATCATAGGATTTTCTAAATTATGAAAAAAAATAAAATGTAAGAACAAACAAATGACTTTAAGAAATAATATATCAGCCAGAAAAAAAGTGTAGTAGACTATTCTACTCCTAAATGCAATATCTTTAAAGAGGAAGATATTATTAAGTATACTAAAACTAACGGACCGTATCTTTGTTAATAATTGTCCAATATTTACGATTTTTTTTTCAGGTAATTTAGTAATCCTTCTAATTATCATGGGTACAATTGTGAAATAATTGCATACTTTTTGAGTTATTCGCAAATAAAGTTTATTTTCCTTCATAACTTTTTTTCCAGAAATTTCGGGGGGGAGGGATAGAACTATTTTTCGCATGTGAAGGAAAAGAATATCTTCATAATGAGAGGTCAATCATAGGATTGGATGAAGAACTGACGAAGTTGTGGCGTAGCGACCTTTTAGAAATAATATATAGGATTGCAAGAGCTACTGAGGGTACTGAAAAACTTAAAATATTTAACCCTTTTTCAACTCCACACTATATGGATATTTTCCGTTTTTTACTCTTTAAAATTTGTTTTATTAGATTATTGTATACTAATATACAAATTTATAACTTGATAAATAAACAATGTAAAATAATAAGCTGCTTAAAAATAATCAAAGTAAAAGGCTCAATATAATGCTAAATAATGCTGTAACAAATATACATTTTAAAAAGCATTCTAGTTCCTTAAAAATCATATGCATTTTGTAACCACACACGTAGATACACAGACACGCTTATATATAGAAATTGATAGTATAAGAGTATGTGTAGAATGTATTATTATAAATGATAAAAAAAAATTGTCAAGAGTAATTTTCACAACAACCCCTGTTCATTTGTCGTAATTAGCTTTTCCTATATTTTATTCAGTTCATAAAAGATTATTATTAAGAGGTAAAAACATTTAATTTTTTTTAATGCCTTTTTCTAACTTTTCCTACAATTTGATCGACACAATCCTGTGACAACTGTTTTCATCTATCCTAACAGTTTTTACTATCAATTTTTTTGTCAGTACATTGTATTTATATTATTCTTTTTTTTTCTATAAGATTGTATTTGCATCTGTCAATGATTTGTTGACCATCAACAAATGTGCTGGAGACATAAGAAATAATTGCATGACAGGCATGGGAAAGTACAGTACTCAGCAAGCAGCACCTGTTCTCTGGGTTGATTCGATGACTAAAGTAGTTTAAGGAAGGAGATCTCACATCCAGCGCCTTTTTAGTCTCCTCCTCATGTTCTTGGGTATGTCAGCTGTGGCCATGTCTATTATTAATGTTTTATTAAGACCATTTAAATTAGTGTAAAATCGTTGATAAAGGGTCGTTATATGTTGGTCAACTGTTGGAAGGTGGAGGTCAGTATGTAGAGTGTTGTTAGTCACCTACCAAGGGGCTTTTGTTATGAGTCGCAATAATTTTGATTGGAACATTTGAAGTTTCTCCAGGTGGGTCCTTTTAGCGAATATTTGTGATGAATATGACCATGTTGGTTTAAGTAAGTATGTATATATATTCATTTATTATTAGTATTATTATTTTTTAATTTTGATATTTATCTTTTTCATTGTGTATTTTTTAATAATACAGATATATTATGTTGTTTAATTATTTTTTATATTTGAAAACGGAATTTGATTAATTAATAAGTGATAAATTGAATATAGATAAAATCAGTTAATTCTTATTATTAGATATAAGTGAAGTACTTACGGAATAAGAATGAAGGGAGAAAGCTGAAGAACCTTTAAATTATAATACAGTTTATGAATCCAATCTTTTTTGCCAGTTACCTATGTATGGATGGAGTATGCTTAGGTAAATTGTGTGATTTATTTAACCAATTCAGCTTACAATAATAGAGGTAGTGTAATTGTTAATTGAAGGTAATAAATAGTTGTTGGTTAGGTGGAGCTGCCTCGAGGGCGAAGATATCCACAATCGTGATCAGCGGAGACGATGGACAGGTCGAAGAAATCAGTCAATATTCGCTCGAGGAACTCGTGTATCTCAGCTAGGGGTAACCCAAGCTCTTCCAGATCTCTCTTCGTTTCCCGGAAAGGCAGTGATTCCAGAACGGGCTCCAGGTATGGTTTTGCTTCTCCTGACAGTATTCTTTCCATCAGACTCTGGAATAGCATTTCATTTCGTTATTACTTATATAACATAAATATGTATATAATATAATTTAAAGGACTTAACACAATAAAAGCGCTTGGTTAGGTCATCATTCGATTAAAATTTTAATAATTAAAGAATAATTGTTTCAGAAGTGCACACCCCTCCCTCCCCTCGAGATCGAAAGCGCATCTCTCCCTATCCCCGCTCCCAAAACATTTTATTTTCTCTCTCTTCTTAAAAACAGTGCAAGCAAGCTAAAGTATAATTAGAGTAATTGCAAATTATAATCAATTAAAGCTACTGTTTTCGCTTTTTTCTTCAAATTGAAACTCCACAAAATATCCAAAAATTACTAACCCCGTCCAAATGTGCCCTCTTCAGCCTATTTGGTGGTACAACTCGAGCCACCTCTTTTTGCTACCTCTGAATCTTACATTGGTTATGATAAAACATTTATTATTTGTCAGCTGGAATCAAGGTTTTTGTAAGAACATCCTCATTCTTTAAAAAAATGTTTGATTTTTATATTAAATTACACTTTTAATATATAATTAATATATATTAAAAAAATCTTGTACATATATAATCATATTATATGATTAATGTCATTAACTTTTAATATATATATATTAATCATACGTCTTTTCTTAGTTTCTCTTACTTTCCAACGTTTTAATGAGTTTTTATCCTCTTTTATCTTTCGTATTTTTCCTATTTATCAGCAATGATCATTTAAATATGTTTTCATTTCTTCATTTATCATTTATATTCGAATACTTATACACTATCTTAAAATGTGCCTGCATTTAAAAAAAAATATATGAAATCGAAGAGGAAGATTCTGTATAATGTATCTTCTTAGGTAGACAATTTTTATGTAGAATACCCTTTTATTTTGAATAAATAATAAGTTTGAATTTATTGCTAGTTGAACGTTTCGATCGTTAAGCAAAATTAATCTTATATATATTTAATTAAAAATAAATTATATTATAGAATTAAATATAATTATAACTGTAATAATTATATCGAAATCTTAACTGCCAAATCCACTACGACCCAAAATGGATAATAAACAGTCCTAATGCTCCATTATCAAAGAAGCTTGACGACAGATTAGTTGTGAAGCAAATATGACAATTAAAAGGTTTAATAAACATTGTTTATTAATATGGTATTAAAGATGATATTCTATTGAAAATGAATATCACAAACTAATGGTCTAATCAATTGATGCTGTATTACATGGCAAAGACAAATTATGAAAAATGATTCAAGAAATATAATCGGTGCATGTATATCAATGGTAGATGATAATGTATTTGAATCTATTTGAGCGAAAATAGTTTACAGGAATTTAGTTACAAGGCAAACCTCAAGTTAATGTATAAAAAAAGAAAACTTTGTTTAAACTAAAAAAACAAGTATGTAAATCTTCACCAGAACAGTATGACAGTATAATCTAAACCGAGAACAATCAACATGAATAATTTATTATGAATAACAATTTTTTTCAGCTACGTTAATGCTGATTTTTTTCCTTATTTATTTTATTTTTTAACATTAAACATATCATATTTAAGTTCAGAACTTTGAGAAATAGCCTTAATTCGCGTGAATGCAAAACCCGCATAACAGGACTGTATTGCGGTATACTCTCCATAGGGAGTTACCTAGAGACAGGCGGGTGACTTCAAGCCAATTACTTAGCACTCCTGAGGGTTTGACTAATTTCAAGATAATCACATATTTGTGGTTCGTGGAAGTTCGTCGTGATTTCGACATTAGGGCGTATGGCTTAGCAACCTAACCCTACATCATCTACTGTGCATCACAGTAGTAAGTAACGTACATGTTCACCAGAAGCTATTTTATGACTAACAAGAAGTTTAATGAGTGTAAAATAATAATTTCAAAATACTAAAAATAAGAGAGATGATAAAGTTTTTAGGTAAAATAGATTTTTTTTTCTTCTTTTTTTATTCCCACCTGTCATTAACGAAAGTGACTATAAGCAAATGTCCTGACAATCAACAACCATAAAATGGCACTTCAGATATGAAGAAGAATAGTACCTAGTGTTTAATTATTTCCTTAGTGCAGCACACGAGATCTCTCATCCAGATCCTTTTCAGTTACTTTCTGATGGGCGTGTCAGCCGTGGCCATGTCGTTTATAAGTCAGTTGGGTCCGTATAGTTTAATATGAAATGGAGAATAAAGATAAGCTGTGTGTTAATCAATAGTTCATTTTTAAAGTCACTATTTAGAGTTTTGTTATTTACGCACCAGTAAATGTCTGTTAATAGTCTTAAAATTTCGCATTGAAAACATTGTAGTTTTTGTGGGTCTTTTTTGCTGAACTATTAATCTGTGAGTCGTATGCCCATATGGGTTTAAGTAGGCAAATGTATTAGTTTCTGTCAAATTTTGATCTGGAATCCTTTGGGCGAATGTAAATATTGAACATAGGTTTAATGTATTATGAAGATTTATTTAATTTTTAATTAACTTCAATCTATTAATTTTTGTTTTATTTTATTGATTTATCTGTTGAAATTATTTATACATTCATTTCTCTTTTGTATATATATATTTTATGAATGAACGCTTGTAATCCTAATATTTGTTGCCTTTCAATGTGGCAGATTGCATTGTGTCATTCAATAAACATGTGAAAATAAATAAATAACAAAGAAGAGGTGCGAAATTTGGAAGATTCGAGTGAATCACGTTTAATAACAAACCATATCGATAACAAACAAATGCCAGAAAATAAACGCGTTGCAGTATCTCGGACTCGCATCCCTAAGGAGGATTGCGTGAGCCACAAGATGAAAAGAAAGACTAAATCAGGGTTGATGACCCAAAATAAAAAAATTAAGAAAAACATAGTATACTTTACTAACCTACTCAAACACACGCATCGCAAATATACGACTAATCATAATGAGACTAATTTACAATGAGTACAAAGTATTCATTCAAAAACAATAAAACTGATACAATTAAAAAAAAAACATGCTGGTACTTGAGTAACTAGTCAATAATTATATTGATAAACCGATAGTGACTCAACAATTACGGACACTCAATTGGTATGACTATTAAAAATTAAACAATTGTATTAATAGATTATAAAATAAAAGGTTGAATTTGCCATGAAAAAGAATATTTTATGAAAATTGAGAAGAAAAAAAATATTCGAATGAAAAGAAGTGCATGCGTGAAATTTGAGGAAAAATGTTTAGATCTGAAGGTATACTTTTCTCACTATCCTTATATCGTCCTCTTTCCATTAAAAACAAATTCATCAGTTTGAATAAAAAAAAAGAAAGAACACACGTAAAAGAATATGTAAAACTGAAAAATAATCAAAGTATAATAATTATAAGTACAATATAATAGAATGTAAAAAAAAAAATTCACATTGCTAGGCTTCGTTATTATTCATCTCTTGACTTTTTATTCTTCATGATGATGCATGAGAAGCTTAGACAGAAACGCCGCCTTCCGGGTGCAACTGTACTCGAGTTGACCAATTTGTCGAGGTAATCTTTTCATCGGACTAATGATATCCTTAACATGACAGCCCCTCCGTGAGGAAGTCAGTATCCAATTTCATCTGGATTCCAAACAAGCGCTACAATATTCAATTTCCTACTGTAATGTTATTTCTAAATTAAACGGAATGAGTGGAAATTTCACATGAGTACGAAAATTATTATAAAATTGAACTAAACTGTGCCCACATCTTATTCTTCTAGGACAGAAAAATCAATTCTATTTTTAGGCAAAGTCCCATAAGAATATAAATGTTGTGCAGACAAATAAACTTTAAATCCGACCATAAGACTTATTAAAATGACCAACACGTAAGTAATAAATATGTACATAATTTTCAAAAATATTTTTTTTTTTTAAATCAGATGGGCAATAGTGTAATAATATATTTGAAACTTAAATAAAACTTTTTTTTAAGAAATAAGACAAACGGATCGACAATTAGGGTAAATGTACCGGTAATAAACACTTTAAGGGAAATTTCCAACTTTAATGTGGACCACAGTTTTAGTTCTGACGGTAATTCTTTACACATGGGTTTCATTGACAAATTTAATTTTTTCTATACAGTAAATCAGTTTATTATTCAAGAAAAATTTAAGAAATTCTGAAGAAGAGAAAAGCGTATTTTGTACAAGCAATTGACACTCAGGTTTTGGGTCGGCATACTTTTTTATGTATACGAAAAAACCCAAAATAAATTCTCCACAGTTTTAAACAAGGAAATGGAAAATTACAGACGAATAAATCAAAAATTGAAACCTATCTTCCAAAAAAAAATTGATAAGGAAAGCTCCCTGAAACAAACACCTTGCTTCATCCAAAAAATCAACTAATCGGCTATTGTGGTATGATATCACCTAAGGTTCAGGCATCACCTTCCTAAATATTCTAGCTTCAAATCTAATCGTATTTCCACTCTCTTTTAGAAGAATGAAGTTTATTACATGCTAATAAGTTGAAACCTGTCCATTACTGGTACAGTGTCTATTACTGGTGCATTTACCCTACAGATTTAACTAGGAAAAAAAGATATACTGAAAATAAACTTACTGTACTCATTCATTTGTTCACTTTGACTAGAAGTATTTTTAGTTTTTTATAAAATCGTAAATATCATGAATAAAATTAAAAAAAAAAATCGAAATTCGATGAACCATGTTATACATATTGTATATACATAATGTACATTTATGACCAAAATTCATTTTTTTTATTTATTTTTTTAATAGCTCAGAGCAAATCGAGAACGGTTCAATAGTTCAGGAGAGTCATATTGCGGAATTAATTTACAATAACAAGGACAGGACATTTAACTGCAATCGCTTCCTATGGTTCGATATTTTTATTTTCTCTTCATACTTATATCCACACCTGTCATAGTATTGATAATAAGCAGATGTGATCTCATTGTAAAGAATGTTGGCATTTAAGGCATGGGGAAG